CCCCAAAACCCCAAAACCCCAAAACCCCATATTATCAGAGACAGATAAACCGAAATAATACAAATAAAAATGATCGATGTTAAATCCTTACTCGCTTCAAGGGAAGAATATGTTTCCTCTCTCAGGTGAGACCTCCCCTCTATCACAAGAAGAGTTATGTCAGCTAGCCCTAAGAGAAACAGGGTGTGCATCACAAGAGGCCCACAGGTGCAGAACCTGATAAAAAGTACGGTATTAAGCTTGTATCTACTCCTTGAGATTTTGGTGATGCCCAAGTAACTCTTTAAGCTGCCAGCTCAAAAATTTCCTACCATCAAGTTAGACACTTCTTTGAGGCACAGAATTCAGTTTTACTCCACAATCTGATTTCTCGTGCCTATTATTTCCTAAATCTCACCATTGAGTTGATTCCTTAAATTTTGTGAAGAGGCGATATCCAAGAATTATGAAATACTGGCTGATTTAGAGCTTAATTCTGAAACTAAATCTAACATTGAACTGAACTGCATCATCTATTTTAACACATTCTGAAAAATTGAAAAGGTATATAGTCCAAACAACGAGCTTTGAGATATATGAATCTTCAGAAATTGGCAATATAAAATTCTCTGAAATTTAGTAGTGCTGCTTAGCTTTCGTGATTCCCTAAGAATCTGAATGAGTGGATTATAATGCCTTGCTGGTCAAGACTAGCCCAAATTGATTAGCTTCATAGTCTTTGACTGCTGAGTCAGATGAATTTTTACATAAAAATATTTTTTATTAGGAGAACACTTTTTTTGTGAAATTGAGTGTAATTTATAATTAGCTAAAGCTCACCAATTGCTGATAAAAATTAGTAATGAGGATTTTGGATTAAAATTTGTAGTTCATGATCAACATTTTGTGGTGTGACCATTTTCTGGTTGATCGATTTTGATCATTTGTTGGGCAATCTAATTCTCCTATGAACTTCATCATTATATAAAGAGATCGTTCTCAAAGTATATAATACCTTACTATAGCCTAGTTACAAAAGAAATCGCTCTTGAAACATTTCATTTTAAGTCCAGACAAAATTTTTACTTTGATTTACTTTCATACATATACGGTATCTAAACTTCAGATCAAAATTTTACACTGTTTCTTTGATTGTCTCACCCTTAATTCCGAAGCCCTACCCAAAGCATTTCTGCATGATCTAAAATCTCTTGAAACCCTCTATTTCCTGGCTTTAACTTGGAATATTCTTAAAACCCAGACTTTCAACACAAAATCTTAAAGTTTGATTAAGCTAAAGAATACAGAGCCAGTCAAGAAATTTGGGTATTGAGGGGTTTATGGTTTGATGAATAGGGTTCTAAGCTAGCTTATAGATAATGACAAGAAGATTGTTTATAAGTATCAGAACTTTGCAGTGCGAAGTAATGAATTCATAAATAAGCCTGTAACACTAAATCAGAGAATCAAGTAAACTGATCCCATTAATCTTTAGAATGAGAAAGGAAATGAAAGACTACCTCAAAATTTCATGGAAAGTTCATAATAAACTTAGATGATTCAGTCCAGGTAAATTAAGCTCAAACAGACTTCTTGCTCAAAAATTCATCAAACACACCCCAAAACCTCAAAGAATCCATCTACCAACCCACACCCCTTACAATAATTCTTAACTAACTTCCATCTCTAAACCTCTCATATCCATCCCCATATCCACAAACCCAATAATCCAACATTCCCATCTGAACCCGGGGTTTTGGGGTTTTGGGGTTTTGGGG